ATATATATATATATATATATATATATAATGTGTGTATATATATACACTCATATACACACTCATATAATTATATATACACACACTGAACAAAAATATAAACGCAACACTTGTTTTTGCTCCCATTTTTTCACGAACTGAACTCAAAGATCTAAAACTTTTTCTATATGAACGCAAAAGGCCTTTTTCTCTCAGTTATTGTTCACCAATTTGTGTAAATCTGTGTTAGTGAGCACTTCTCCTTTGCTGCAATAATCTATCCACATCACAGCTGTGGCTGATCAAGATGCTGCTCAGATAGCATGATTACCGCACAGGTGTGCATTAGGCCGACCACAATAAAAGGCCACAAAATGTGCAGTTTTACTGTATTACTGTATAACTTGTCTGCTGGATTCCTTAGATAGAGAACTTTACTAATTGGCTTTTATGTGTGTGAATGTTTCTGTGAAGTGCCCTGAGACAACTTTGTTGTGATTTGGCGCTATATAAATCAACTGAATTGAATCAGAAAACCAGTCAGTATCTGGTGTGACCACCATTTGCCTCATGTAGAACAACACATCTTCACATAGAGTTGATCAGGTTGTTGATTGTGGAACGTTGGTCCACTCCTCTTCAATGGCTGTGTAGTTGCTTGATAATGTCAGCAAATGGAACACGTTGTCATATACACTGATCCAGAGCTCCTGAACATCCTCAATGGAGGACAAAAATAGTATCTGTGTTTGTTGTCCATAACATACGCCTGCCCATACCATAACCCCACCACCACCATGGACCACTGGATTCACAACGTTGATGTCATCGAACTTCTCACCCACACAACGCCATACATGCAGTCTGCCCTCTGCTCTGTACAGTGAAAACCAGGTTTCATCTGAGCAGTCGTCCTCCAATGCAAGAGTTGGGGGTTTGATTCCACCAGCAGTCACATGCGCCCAAGTGTTCCTGGGCAAGACACTGAACCCCTCATTGCCTCCGATGTGTGTCCCATCAGTGTATGAATGTGATAAAGCTCTGATTATTATTTGTATCAATATATTAGAGTGCAGTATGAATGGGTAAATGAGGACACACTGTGTTGTAAAGAGCTTTGAGTATTTTGATAAGATTGAAAGGTGCTATATAAGTACAGTCTATTTACCATTTACCTCCAACATGCCAAACACCATCAAATGTGAGCATTTTCCCACTCAAGTTGGTTACGATGAACCGCAGTCAGGTGGAGACCCTGATGCAGACTATGATCAAGCAGAGGAGCTCCTCTGAGACGTTTCTCACAGATTGTGCAGAAATTCTTTGGTTATGCAAACTGATTGTGCCAGCAGCTGTCAAGGTGACTGGTCTCAGATGATCTTGGAGGTGAAGATGCTGGATATGGAGGTCCTGGGCTGGTGTGGTTGCACATGTTGTGTGGTTATGAGGCCAGTTGGATGTACTGCCAAATTCTCTGAAACACCTTTGGAGACGACTTATGGTAGAGAAAGGAACATTCACTTCATGAGCAGCAGCTCTGGTGGACATTCCTGCAGTCTGCATGCCAACTGCTGCTCCCTCAAAACTTGCTACATCTGTGGCATTGTGCTGTGAGATAAAACTGAATTTTAGAGTGGCCTTTTATTGTGGTCAGCCTAAGGCACACCTGTACAGTAATCATGCTGTCTAATCAGCATCTTGATCAGCCACAGTTGTGATGTGGATGGATTATCTCGGCAAAGGAGAAGTGCTCACTAACTCAGATTTACACAAATTGGTGAACAATATCTGAGAAAATGACCTTTTGCGTACATAGAAAAGTCTTAGATCTTTGAGATCGGCTCATGAAAAGCCATCAACTTATCAGTCTGGTAAAATTTAAACTCTTACTTTAAACTGAGGTCAATGAAAAAGATATCCACAGCAGGTAAAATATTAGATTTTTAATGTTTTTGCAGAAACATACAGTTGAACTGAACTGTTACTTTACTGTAGCTATTCATACATTTGTTACTAAAACATTATGGTACATTTATTTAACAATGGCTACTGGCAACAGCAAAATCGTCCATACATCCAATAAAATAAGGTCTTCCTTGTTTTCCAATGTCAACAACAAAAGTCTGTAAATCCTGAAAATGTGTGTTAACAAATCCTTAGGAAATGAGGCTTATATAGAGAGTTTATGCAGCTTCAATGTCCTTTATTGTCATTCGCATGTGGTACATGAGGTGGAACAAAATTGTGTACTCAAGATCCCAGTTACACTTAAAAATATAAAAAATATTAAGTATAAAAAGAAACAGTATGTAAGGATCCAAGATATATGCTAAACAATAATAATGTAAACTAATACAGTATATTAACAGCAGCCTGAACATGAGTCGGTGGTGAGCAGATGGGTATGAATACAGCAGCATAAAGGCAAGAGATCAGCAGCACAGTCACATATCATCAGTTAAAGTGGTATTACAGTGACTTTTCTGATTAGGGATTTATGAGTCTAACAGCTTCAGGGTAGAAGCTGTTCCTTAGTCTAGTGGTTTTACACTTAATGCTCCACAACCTCCTGCCTGAGGGGAGCGGGGCAAAAAGTGTGAGTGCTGGGTGAGTGGGGTCCTTCATGATGCAGGTGGCCCTCTTCCTGCATTTGGAGGTGTAGATGTCTGTGATGGTGGGGAGGCTGACTCCAACAGACTTCTGTGCAGCCTTCACCACTCTCTGCAAAGCTTTT